CAGTAAGGACTAGTAACAGAACACTATACAGTTTTGACATTACTCCATGTATGAAGTGCAGAATTGCATCCCTTACAAATTACCATAGAGTTTTTGCTAGAGTGAAGTTCGCTTCTTTCCTCAAGAATTCATTAATAAGGTTCCTGGAGTTTTTGGTCAGACAAAAAAAGTTGTGGGTTTTGGTTAGTTAGTTAGTTAGTTAGTTAGTTTGTTTTAATAACTGTTCTAATTGGTGAAACATTGCTGTCTTGTCCACCCACAACATCTGTCTTCTTTTATTGTCCTCTTTTATTCAGCTTTTCTACTTCTACTGCCTTTTACTTTGAAAACCTGTTCTTCAGATTGTTGAGTAGTTTTTCTTGCTTATCTGTTATTTTACTTTGTTTAGATTGAATGCCTATCTCTTCATTGAGGAAAAGTTCCTACCTGGAACAACTACAGACACAAAAGTAACAGGGAACTTATTAATGAAACTTGAAATGCCTCCATCACATTCAAAAAAGGGATTTCAGTCTCATTTGTTAAAACATAATCACCTCACCACAGACAATATGCCTCATTTTTGTCTAGCTTGCTATCTATGCCTTTTTTATTTTATTTCAACACCGCTGGATGTTATTTATATTATCTTGCAAATTCTTTTTGCTTTTTTTTATGATGGATTTTTAAATTTTTCATTTCAGGCACTAAGATGGATGACAGTAGAAGAAACATGCCTTGCTAAAAGCATGCACAAGTTTATTGACAGGAGACAATTCAGAATCAGTGCTGCCCACATTCTGATTTGGCAAGGCAACTATATTTTAACATATTTATGCTATTATAAAATCCACACAATATCTTACAAACAAGGAGCTCCACCAAAATGTTCCTCACCGTTCTAACCTTCGGTACAGTCTTTTGTGGGGTACTGATTCATGCCTCTCTGCTCTGATTAGTTTGTATGTTCTTACAACACAGGGCAGATTTCAGCCTACCCAGAAGACTGGTTCAGAGGGTACTTTGGGAAACAACCCTTGGAAAAAAAGAAGGTCCAGGAGGGATGGACATGCTTCAAGAAGCAAGTTTTAAACACACAGGAGCAGGCTGTCCCAGTGTGCCGAAAGGTGAGCCAGAGGGGAAGATAGCCAGCCTGGCTGAACAGGGAGATTTTGAAGGAAATTAGGGGGAAAAAGAGAGCCTACCAATTATGAAAAAAAAACCTGGCTACTCAAGAAGAGTTTAGGAATATAGTTAGGTCATGTAGAAAGAAAATTAGAGAGATGAAGGCACAACTTGAACTTAACCTTGCCACTTCTGTGAAGGATAACAAAAAATCCTTCTACAGATACATCAAGAGCAAAAGGAGGGGCAAGGAAAACCTCCATTCTTTGTTGGACATGGGTGGGAATATAATTATCAAAGATGAGAAAAAGGCTGAGGTATTTATAACCTTCTTTACCTCAATTTTCAACAGTAGGACAGGTTGTCCTGAGGACAGCTGACTTCCGGAGCCTGTAGAAAGAGATAAGAAACTGAATAGCCCCCCTGTAATCCAGGAGGGAACAGTTAGTGACGTGCTGAGCCATTTGGATCCTCACAAGTCTATGGGACCATATGGGATCCACCCAAAGGTGATGAGGGAGCTGGCAGAAGAGCTCACCAAGCCGCTCTCCATCATTTACCAGCATTCCTGGCTCACTGGGGATGTCTCAGATGATTGGAAGTTGGCAAATGTCACACTGATCCACAAAAAGGGCCAGAAGGAGGACCCAGGAAACTACAGGCCTATCAACCTGACCTCAGTGCCTGGCAAGGTTATGGAGCAGATTATCTTAAGTGCAATTACACTTCACCTACAGGATGGACAAGGGATCAGACCCAGCCAGCACGGGTTTAGGAAGGGCAGGTCCTACCTGACCAACCTAATCTCCTTTTATGATCAGGTGATGAGGGGGAGGCTGTGGGTGTAGTTTCCCTGGGCTTCAGCAAAGGTTTTGACACCATCTCCCACAGCATACTCCCGGAAAAGCTGGCAACACATGGCTTGGACAGGGGCACTCTGTGCTGGGTTAGGAACTGGCTGGAGGGCTGGGCCCAGAGAGTGATGGTGAACGGTGCTGCATCCAGTTGGTGGCCGGTCACTAGTGGTGTCCCCCAGGGATCAGTGTTGGGCCCAGTTCTGTTTAATATCTTTATTGATGATCTGGATGAGGGGATTGAGTGTACCATCAGCAAATTTGCAGATGACACCAAGTTGGGGGGGAGTATCAATCAGCTGGAAGGCAGGAGGGCTCTGCAGAGGGACCTGGACAGGCTGGAGAGTTTGACTGCAACAAGGCCAGGTGCCGGCTCCTCCACTTTGGCCACAACAACCCTGGCAGTGCTACAGGCTGAGCACAGAGTGGCTGGAGAGCAACCAGGCAGAAAGGGAGCTGGGAGTTTGGATTGAAAGGAAGCTGAACATGAGTCAGCAGTGTGCTCAGGTGGCCAAGAAGGCCAATGGTATCCTGGCCTGGATCAGGAATGGTGTGGCCAGCAGGACCAGGGAAGTGATTCTGCCCTAGTACTCAGTGCTGGTGAGGCCACATCTGGAGTACTGTGTCCAGTTGTGGGCCTCTCAGTTCAGGAAGGATATTGAGGTGCTGGAGAGTGTCCAAAGAAGGGGAACGAGGCTGGTGAAGGGACTGGAGCACAAGTCCTATGAGGAGAGGCTGAGGGAGCTGGGGTTATTCAGCCTGGAGAAGAGGAGGCTCAGGTGAGACCTCCTCACTCTCTACAATTCCCTGAAAGGACGTTGTAGCCAGGTGGGGGTTGGTCTCTTCTCCCAGGCAACCAGCAACAGGACAAGAGGACACAGTCTTAAGCTCTGCCAGGGGAGGTTTAGGTTGGATATTAGGAAGATATTTTTTAAAGAGAGATTAATCAGACATTGGAATGGGCTGTCCAGTGAGGTGGTGCATTCTTCACCCTGGAGGTTTTTAAGATGAGACTGGATGTGGCACTTAGTGCCATGGCCAAGTAACCACAGCGGTGTTGGATCAAGAGTTGGACTTGATGATCTTGGAGGAATTTTTGGTTGCAAGATAATTGGTTCTTTAAACAGATTAAAGCAGTACCATCTAATTTTACTAAATAAGAACTCTGTAAAGCAGTGTTCATTAACTAACTCGAAAGGTCTTCTCACTGATTTTTCCATGCACAATCACTTCTGTAATATGCTTTATAAAAAAATTTGAGATTCAAAAGAAACTGATGAAAATTTAAAAGAAACAATTCTTTTATAAGAATTCTTCCTAAGAAAATACCATTTATCATCTTTGACGAAATTGAAAGGCAAAATACTAGTCCCGGTTACCAATAAAGCTGTCAATCCAGTTCATCTGAAGCATTCATAATTTTGGGTGTGGTGAGAAGGGAATTGAGCAGAGTGTCAAAGAACATTGATTTGGACACTTGTCCACTGATGGCCCAGCGTTGAAACATGTTGTATCCTTCAGAAACAAAGAAAATCACCTCGAATATTTTGTACCCCAGGCAGCTTTTATTTACACCTTTTGAACTCCTTTTTCATTTCTACCTCCAAAGAAAAACTTGCTTCATAGCAATGCAAGGTAAAATGGGAATGACAACTTGAAACAAGAGAGGATTACCACTTTTCATCATAAGTCTGCCAAGTTGCCAGCTAGAAAACATTAACAGCTAGGAAATTGTCCTTGGAGAAGTGTTTTGGTTTTCTTTACCATGAGCATATATGCAAGCTTTACATTAGAATGCATTTATTTATTTTGATTTTATTGTGTTTCTTTTTTTTAATTTAAGAGATTCAGTGTACATCTTGAAAAAATCTTGTCTCCTCTGAGTCATTTTTTAAGTGAACTGCTCCTGTCCCAGACAATTTTACAAAGGACAAACAAAGGACAAAGTTTTCCAGACGAAACCTCAAGTGAATTGTTCCTCTTATGGCTCAGCAAAAGCCTTCCCAGGCTTTTCCACGCAGAAGAAACTTCATTTCCTCTTTTGGAGCTTATTACATAATCTGGTGGCAAACATTTTTTCCTTTACCTACTATTCAAAACCTTATTCTGCATGTATAGGTTTTAAGCCGAGTAACTCTTCATTAACATTAATGAGCAACTACTTGAGAAAAATCTTCATGTTTTCAAGGGGATTTTAAGAAAACATGGTGTCTTTACCCTACCAAGAGGAAAATTCTGTAGGCATGCACAATACAGTGAGAGAATAAAAACAACCAAACACAAAACCAAACAAAAATAAAGCAAAACAATCAAACAAGTCAGATGGTAAACAGCATTTTGTCAGGGGTCAGATATAATTAAGTTCCTTGGAGGGCCACGTGCCTGTATAATTGTCTTAACAAAGGGAATATTCTCTCTCACACATTCAGTATTTTCAGATTTCAAAATGACCTGACTAACATTAAGTTTTGGGCCTATTAAATCAGACACAAACTTTTATATTTCAAGGTTATTCAAAGAAATATAATTTCTTGATTATTTGCACTTCTTACAAAACTCACACTTTATTGAAATTCATGACTCAAAAGAAACTGTTGTCCCATTTTTATAAAAAATTAAACTTTGTTCTACCAAGTAAATTCTGATGATATTAATCATATGCAACATCGACGTCTCCTACATTATCACTCTTAATTTCAACAAAAGCAAAACCCTAAATACAGAGCTTGCTGTTGCATCACAGAGGATGAGAAATCTAGCAAATACTACAGAGGACTGCATGCAGTATACATTTTGAGGAAGCACAATCAAAAAAAAAAAAAAGAAGCTTGATTTTTCCTCTTAGTTTCATTTGAATAATCAAACTCTAAATTGTAGCACTTAAACGGAAGTCAAAGAACTTGGAGTGTGATGGAGGAAGCAGCAATCAGTTTGAAAAGATGTTGAATCTCTGATGAGCATTGAATATGTCAGATTAAGTTATGCCCTAGAAAGGGAGGATCCCTGAACAACTGCTAGTCACTTTAAATTATTCTGCATTTCAAACAGGAAATCATCCAATTAGACTAACAGCTGCAGAGATTGGAATAAGCCTTACATATTTGAAAATTAAAGAAATGCAGCTAAGTACTAAGGAAAGGAGCTAAGGTAAGTCATTTTTCCTCTCCTTTTCTTCAACAAAACTTAATTTCAAGGACTTTTAGGATAAGAAAATGACTGCAAATTTATTATGTGTAGTTAAGATAGGAAAAAACATTTGCCATGAATTGTGCTGGATAATTCTTTTTCATATGTATGTTGTGTTTGTCCTAAAATATCCGTTGTTTCTTTCAAAGTGGGTGGAGAACTCTGTATTTTTCCTTTTCCCAGGTCCATTCCAATACCATCACTATTATTTCCAAATGTTTTAAAAAAGATAAGCCAAAATACTATATTGCAATGACTTTTTAGTTAAGAGTCATCTCCATTTGAAACTCTCTTTTCAAAGATAGTCTGAGATTGCAAACTGCAAACTATATGTAAGAAAAAAAACATAGCTGAAGTTGGGAAAAACAGTAACTCAGAATATAGAAATGAAATTTTATACAGTGAAAAAACCCAACCTCAACAACAAAAAGAATTCTCGTGCCAAAGAAAATAGGATGATGAAAGAAAATAATATTGAAAATACAGCATACACCTTGAGCATTCTATTGTATCTGAGAAAATAAATAAAATCAATATATTTTTACCTAGACACCATCCATGTCATTTCAAGATCTGAAGATGTAAACCAGTCTGTATGTCAAAATTATGTTTAGCTTTTAATAATTGGACTAGTGTTAGACATCAGTCTCTAAAACCAAAATGGATAGAGTCATGAAGTGTCAACCATGAATTATAAACATGGTTGTTTTGGTTTGGGGTTTTTTTGTGATGAAATATGTTTTAAGCAAAAAAAAATTCGCATGATAAAACTATATATTTCCATAATGATTCTCTCAGACACCTACAGATACTACTCCTGCAGCTTTTGGCACTGTGCATCCCATAACTGGACTTCAGGAGACGTCTCTTTTCTGAAGAGGTTGTTCCTTGAAGAATCTCAGGTTAGATAAGCACTTTGATTTTTTTAAAACCATGCACTAAATGTCAAGGCACATTCTCATGCTACATACACAATTCCTCCTACAGGCTTTGCTCCTAAATGTTTAGCCTGGGGTCTCTGTCCCTTTGATACATACAAAACATCTTGTAACTTACCACAAGAGTTCACTGAAATCACAACTGAATCTCTAGCAGGCAGAAATACAGCCTTTCAGTGCTATGATACCTCTCATTTTAAAATGCCTCATTCCCCTGATGCTTTTTAAATGAGCCTCAAACCATAATTAGGAAAAAGTCTAATAATTTTCCTTAATATGTAATTTCAGATTGCTTTCTGCAGAAGTTCTTTAACAGATGTTAAAGCTTTAAAAGTCTTGATAGGATCAAAGACAAATTTATCAGGAAGAATATATAGAGGAAAGTGACCAATTTCTTATACCAGCGTATATTCACATCAGATCAAGATTTAGCCAGCTCTGGAAATATTAGATCTGAATTGCCACTGAAATTTATAATTTCAGTAAGAAAGTGAAATTAAAGAAAATCCAGGAGACACTCTCTTGCTTACTGATAGACAAAGGATTCAAAGACTAAAGTGCCCGTAAGGAATGAATTTTTCCAGTCCAATAGATGCATTCAGTTGGGAAAAAAAACAACTCTTAAGCCAGAAATATGTTCAAAAAGTATAATTTAACTTTAAAAATGGATTAAAATGTGTGTTTAAATGGTCACTGGAATCAAAGGTTCAAATGAACAGTTTGAATAGAAAGTTTGTTGCTTTTAGGTTGCACAGAAGATGCTTATTCTTGGGAAAATTTAAATTTGCGTTAAAATGTTAGATTTAATATTCTACAATGTAATAGAGCAATTATCAAATGTACTGAGACCAAGGGATAGCATAGCACTGCATTAGAATGCATCAGATGAACAAATGCCTGGAAATCACTCTGACTGCTGGTGAAATGAACCTTGGTTTATGCTTGTAATCAGTGTATCCTGCTATGGGAAAATCCAGAGGATTTTCATGGGATGTGGCACAGCACTTTTGCTCTCCTGTTAAAGACTGTTTCTTGTATTGCTTAATAAGCATCACTTAATTTGACTGCAGCACATTAAATGTATGGTACAATAAAGATACAAGACCCATTGAAAATCAACTGTGATTTTTTTAATTTTTTTTTTAAAGTTCCTCAGTTACCTGAAAGAGTCTTTTTCTTGTGGTAACTAACTGCTGATAAGATCCAACAATGATAATTTGTATGCTCAGTGTATCCTGGTGTGAGGGGTTTTTTTGTCTACTCAATGATTTTAAAACTGTTCATAGACTGACAGCAACTGTTCTTAACCTGATTCTTTTAAGCTGATGAGGGCTAACTCCAATCATCTAATCTAACCTCACATCTAGAATTTAGAGACTTCCAACGATGAGCTCCCAATTCCTGTCTATTGATTGAATTTGAAAATGTCAATGGTTGTTGTGTTGTTTCAGAAACTGAGTATCTGGCTGCTAATAAGATGTTAATGTAATGAATGCTACTTCCGACATAGTTTTGAGAAATAGGTATTGCCGAACTAACTTCAATTCTATGTGAATACAAGTTTATCTGACAGATGCACAAGTGATAATGCAATAGAAATCTGTAATGTATTCAATATCACACAACTTAGGGTTAAGAAACTTGAGCAACACAAAGTTAGTGTGCTGCATATCATTAGGATTAAACATTAGTTCAACAGTATATTTCAAAAAAGGATTGTAAATAATAAGTCTTAATCAATTAGGAGAACTCTGAAGGAGTAAAAGTGATTCAGACTATAATTTAAAGCTTATGTCAGCTATTGTTGAAAAATCAAAATCATTGTCAAACAAAAAATGGGGGTTTTACCATACAGATAGCATCAAAGAGGGGTGGTTTTGGGTAGGAGGAATTCAAACAGATGTGGAAAATCAGAGATTTTTTTAAAAAATTATTAACTTAGTATGCACATATATATATATACATATATATGTATATATATGTATATATATATATGTGCATTTATGGATTTATGAGTTTCAATAAAACCAAATATTGGAATATCTCTCATAGCAGCAGACAGAAAACTTTCACGGGAAAGAGTGATGCTTGAAAAGACACAAAAATACTAGTGAATGATCTTCTGAATATGAGTGCCCATTCTCTTGCAACAGCCTAAACGGTTAATGTGAACCCTACATGTATTAATTCTGTTATTACTCATGGCCAAGGGAATTACATTTCTCATATGGAACAGCTTGGTGGACTAGAGGACTCAGAGGAGTGCAACAAGGCTTATTAAAGGGTTGAACAAAGCCTTAGGATGAAACACCTGAGGAGCTCAACAGATTAGTTCAACAAGAACAAAAATAGATAATTACATCACAGCTATAGGGAAGATACACATAATAGTGGAGTTTCCACTCTAGCAGAAAATGTGAAAGCTGAAAAAATTTAGATTGAAGTTCAAAGGTATTACTAGAGTGAACAATTGAGTATTTTGATTGGAATATATGTACACATGTTCATTCTCTGAAAATAATTGTAAATAATCCACAAGTCTTCAAGGAACCATGTATTTTAAGGAACTGGTAAGTGTTCTTAAGTAGTTCCCAATAATTATTCACATTTTTCTCTTTAGTTTCTATTTACCAGCTGACTAAGCCCATAATTATCTGTATGCCTGTGAAACTAGCTGCTGGTATGCACCAGAGAATGTATTATTGGTTTCCACAGAAGCATAATCAAATCATGATGACTTGTAGTAATCACCATTACTTTTTAGCCTTGAATCATTTCCTTCAGTACCTCTTAAAAAGAAAAAAAAAGAGAAGACTAGCCTAGAACTTACACACATGGAATGTTATATTTTAAAGGCTAGAAAACTCGCTAATAATTTAGAGAAATTATTTTGATTTTCATATTGAAAGAGAAAAAAACTGCAGTATGTTTCTGTTTACAACTCCCATGTGTTTTTAATTTTAAGTCATATTTTCTCTAGACATTCTTGACCACTTGTCTCATTGTCTCAGTTCTGCTCTGGCTTTCTTAGGCTGACATCAGACTACCTAATCCTCTCTTTTATTAGTTAGAAGACTACTCTTAAGGCCAACAAGATCATTTACATCCAACTTGTCCTGGATTCAGAAAAAAGGTAACAATGCCTTCACTCTCTTGTATGTTTGACCCTTATCAAATGGATTTAAACTTAGCGATTTTAACACTCTTAAAAAATCTTCCTATTAGATTTCAGAAATATCAGCTTGATTTTCATGCATGCATTTCTAGCCTTTACCAATGATTCCGAAACTGGTGTATAACCAAATAAGAACTTTTTGTCCAAGGTCTTATTGCTGAAGATATCATTGTACCAACATCTTAATTTTCTGCTGAATTAATAGACTTTATCTGCTCCCTTTTTCTATACATGAACATAAATTTTAATAAAAAATATATGAGAAAATTAGTAAGATGGAATCAAAGTCATTTATTCTTTACATTGTTATTTGTTTGCATGTATTTGTCTATTTTACTCATTATTTTCCTATATTAAGTTGCCAACATTTTAGAAAAATGAAAACTTTTGAGTGTATTATACACTTAACTGTATTACAGTATTTCTTGCTGAGATAATATTTGCACATCTACTTTTATTTGAGATACATTCAGCAGAACTTCGGGCCACTTTTTTGTTTGTTTCTTAAATAATTTGGAAATAAAAAAAACTAATTTAATATGAGGTTATTTTTTATAAGGAGTTCTCACATTTCTAATGAAAACTGAGAAAATCCTGAAATTGTTGAAATAAAAAGCTGAAAAATGTTTTTTTAAAACATTAAAATCAAAACGTGAGCTTTTCAAAACAATCTCTATTACAAAGTCATTTAAAGTAATACTGACATTTCAGTCACCTCCATACTGAACTTTTTAGTGAATTAACTTTCATTTCATTATTCATCTTTGTTTCTGGAGCCATCCAGATAGATTGCTCATTCCTCTTGCATGGAAAAGAAATAACTTACTCATTTTTCTTGGCTGATGTTGCAATACATCTTTCCCTAGAAAGATTGTAGGACTGACAGGAGCAAAAAAGGGAAAGATTAACTGTGTTGAAGCTATATACATTAATGCTTGGGATGCATGAGAAGAAAAAATAATGTTTCCCTCTTTCCTGTGGGTCTTAAAGTGACTAGTATTAAACAAGTTGGCTCATAAGTGTAATAACTTTTTTTTCCCATCTTATAAATTATTTCTCTTTTGAAGGGGAGCACCCAAGGCCCAGAACCTTGCTGTTCAATATGACATGGTCTTGCACAGAGCATATTTTCGCTGGGTCAACTCAGAGAAACTGTTGAAACTAAGAAACTATCCTACAGAACAGGTTTTCCTTTTTTTCCTCAACTTAACAGTCACTTGTGTTCCTTTCAACACTGAAGAATGACGTGAATTTAATCGCTTTGTTTCTCAGAAAATATCATGTTCCACGTATTTTCTTCCAGACATAGTCTGAAGACATTAATCAGTTCCCTTGCACTTGGTCATTTGGATAACTGCAATCCTTAAAGAAATTATTACTTTCTGGATATCAAGAATACAACCCAGTGTGAGAGACTGAAATGTTGTTGTCTTAAACATAGTCAAAATCACAGAAAGACTTTTTGTCAAATTGCAAAGAAGTAACTGCCCATCTGCGACCACCAAAGCACTCACCTCTCTCCCAAATATGCCTCCTGACTGGAATTTGGACTGTAACTGGGGACTTGAGATAAGACTATTGTCCAATTATCTCAGATCTGAGGAGAAGTAAACAAGGCTCAGGGAAGAAGAATGTGTCTGTGTTAAGAATCAGCCCTAGCTGGCCCCAGCCAGTGGAGGAGGAGAAGGGTTTTTAGTGTGTGATGGCAAAATCTCTCCACACAAAAGCAATAACCCCACCTCTGGCAAGGCCACATATACAAGGGACATTCACATGAGAGGCAGCTGAGAAGGGGTCATAAATCATAAAAGACCCTCAAAGTGCCCTCCAACTCATTCCTAAGACCTTCTGGCACCAGAGGACTGCAGGTGATCCAAGTGATGCAACAAATAGGAGCCTATCGCAAGAAACTGTAAAGCTTCCCCCCAAAAAAGGGAGGTGCCTGGGCATTTCCTGAACGTGTATTATTAGTCCATTGGACTCAATGTTTTATGGATCCCTCACCATCAAGAAGACTAGAAGAGGAGGACCCATGAGACACCATTTGGTTCCATGGAGTGGTGATACATTTCTATTTCATCTCTCCCTGTCACTCTCATTCTTCCCTACCCCCTCCTTTTTCCAATTCCTTTTTTTCTCTCTCTGCCTCACATTCATATTGAAGGGAATGATCCTGCAGGATTAGAGGCCCAGCTATTGCCTTTATCAGGGAGCAGCGAGGACTCCCTGCTTTTTAAGGACAGGCAGGGCCCTCTCTGTCAAGGGCACAATGTCACAGCAATTGAGCAGCAAAGAGCAGAGAAGGCTGACAACAGTGATCAGAGTCAGATATGGTCCACTCTGCCAGGTGCATCTCTAGTGACAAGGCAGGGCTGAGGTCAAGGCAGAAATTCAAGTCTGGGAGAGGATCAGGGTTGAAATCAGACTGAAAAATTCATGGCTCATAGTTTTAGACAAAAGCACCTCAGCTCCGCCTCCAGATTATCCATTATAACAAGCACTTCCCCCTCTACCATAGAAATATTAAATGTGTAAAAAATAATTTATTTACTGGAAATTAGGTCCTTGCAGGCATCATAATTCTAGACTGATACACCTGGAAGACACAAGAGACTACAACTACAGTTCTATGAAACATGAATGGGGCTAATTTTGAAGAAGTCTCACAGACTAGTATGAAGAAATAGTTCTCTAGCAGTCCAGCCTACATGATGAAATAGTTGATTAGTAGAAAAGAGCAGGGAAACTGATCATAGAGAGAGGAATGATTGCACAGAGCAGAAGCATGGTAAAAGAAAAATAACTACAAAGACAAAAACTGGTAAGAATTATTTTTGGAGTTTCATAATGCTAATAGTTAACATTAAAATTAACGTTAAATTGTTAATAACATTAAAATTAATATTGATGGGGGAAATTTACCACTATATATATTTATATTATGATCATATTCCCTATCAGAAATCCCAATGCAAAATGTCTGCTGCAATATGGAATAATGTGGAAGAGACAAGGGATTGACCTTGGCTCGCTGCTGAGTGCCCACTGAGCCGCTCTATCACTCCCTTTCCTCAGGACAGGGGGAAAAAATGTACAATCAAAAGTTCATGAGGATGGTATAAGTATAGGGAGATCACTCAACAACTATCATCATGATTTTTCAATCATGATTCTGTCAGGTAGGGTTTGATGGACCTCCATCATCTGCAGCCAACCTCACCATGATCTTCACTATGGGCTTCAGGGAAATCTCTGCTCTGGCACCTGGAGCACCTCCTCCCCCTCCTTCTTGGATGACCTTGGTGCCTGCAGGACTGCTTCTTTCACATATTTTCACTCTTCTCTCCCACCTGCTGTTGTGCAGTATTGTTTTCCCTTTCTTAAACATGTTATCCCAGAGACACTACCATTGTCACTGATGGGTTCACTCTTGGCCATCAGGCCATCACTCAGGTCCATCTTGGAACAGGTTGACATTGGCTGTCACACATGGGGAAGCTTCTGGTGTCTTCTCACAGAAGCCACTCCTACTTCTCCCCTGCTAGCAGAACCTGTTCCCACAAAACCAATACTACTATGCAGACACTCACAAACTAATATCAACATTTAGATATCCTAATTTCCAACTGAATTCTGTTTTACGTGTTCACAGCCAAGGACACAGGATGTTATACGAGGTCATCTAAAGCATTTCTCAAATATTTTTGAAAGTAAAGTGTAAAATTTCATCTACAAGAAAATAAGACATTAATTTCAAATCTCACAGTAAGATGTTAGTGAAAGATGTAATTTCCACAGGTCTGTGGCTGTGAGAATGGTTAACACTCAACAGGCAGAAGCAAATCAAGCACGTGGGAAAAATCACAACTAGCGTAAGTCAATGCCCATTTAACACTGCACGATCATCTGGACCATACAGCTCATCAGCTCTGTGGGCGTAGGGATGTTTTAAAAAGCTTTCACACTACCTAGGTCTTTACTAGCTTACTCTGAGGCCTTCATTTCATTACCAGTAAACAAGGCATTTGCCTTCCAAAAGCTTACTTCAACTGATCCAATACATATTCTGATTATGAATGAGTAGCATGCAGATATATTTGCAGATATATCTGCAAGCATCCAGATATAATAGCTTAGTGGTACTTGGGAAATATTGAATATAAATTATTATTTACATAATTACAGCATCCATGATTGCACTGCCTCATTGCTGAAGAGAACTTTAGGGATTTTCTTAATAAAACATAATTCATTTTCTTTTGGCACTGAAAAGCTGGGTATTCAAGTAGCATGAAGTCAGTACTGTAAATGTTATACAGTCAATAGCGTGGAGGAAAAACACATTTCAGTTGATGAAAACAAACTTTAACTGTCATTTTCTACTTCGAGTTAAGATAGAGGAAGACTTGTAATTTAAAAAGTCATCAAACCCTACCTGACAGAATTATGATTGAAAAATCTTTGTTTACTCATTTTCCAAGTCTTCTAAAAAACTAATGCTGAAGCGGGAATATACAATTAATTGAAAATTAATGAAGATTTTTCACATTTCTGTCTTTATTTTTTTACTCCTTTGCTCGTTCTTTTTTAGCTAATATTTTGCATAATATTATATCAACATACTGGAAGAAAACAATACAATTCGTACTATTAGCATTCAAGGTATCTTCAATCTGGACCCCTTTGTACTCAACTAACTTTACTTCAAAGAATTTAAAAGCTGCAAGGAAAATATGTTCTTTGCCTCTCACAGAGATGAGGTACATTATTAGAGAGATTAAGATCCAGAGAGAAGGATTTGGGTCAGTAAGTAGGATGAGGGTAAAATGTGGATCTTTAAATTCAAGTTCAAATCATGGCTACACTTCGCGAACGAAGATTTGGGAAGGGCTCTACCCACGTTTGTTACAAGCG